ATAAAAGATATAAATAAATTAATAAATAAGAACAATAATAAAGATTTAATGAATAAAAAATTAAAAAGAACAAACACGACATTAATTAAAAAGGCATATGAAAAAAGACTGAAATAGGCAGACTGTGTAGTGCTCCCTCATCGTTAAAATACTTGTACGTTCCAAAGACACCGTTGCATGTCGACGAAAAACAATATTGGAATTATGAACGACAACATTAGCTGAAAACGTACATCTGTGAAAAAGAAACAGAACAGAAAGCGTTCTTCATCGATCTAACGAAACTTTCAGCTGTATTCTCATGTAAAGGGTGTAGGGGTGTAAGAAAACTGGTCTATTGGATAAAATGATTAGCCATGACAATACGAGTTTTTTTTCTCACAGAGATCTGAATGAACACGCACACATCAGATATTCGAAAAGGTGAGAAAACAGCCATCGAATTGGTTTGTGACTGTGAGGGTATAATGAAATGACATTTGTAAATTTACATATTATCATGAATGAACTTTTGTACAGCAACAACACTCCAACAAAAGTATTTAAACAGAAACACTGTCAGGTACTCTAATGTTGTAGACCCTACCTTAATAAAATACACCACTTTAAATTAAAACGTTTTTTGGAAAGTGAATATATAACAATTCTCTCTTCGAAATCAGTAGAAGGACTATTTTGATAAGGAATAGTTATAAATTTAGTAGATTTTCCTCTTCTTAAAAAAAAAAAGCTCAAACCACAGAAATACATGCCAATAGAAGGCGTATGATAGCCCAGAAGTACTGTAACGAATGTCTGCCAAGACTGAGTACCGTACTGCAAAAAGACCAGAACAGGCATGAAAGAAAACAGTAGGCTGTTGCCTATTACTTGCTTTGGGCATCAGTTATTCAACATTGATATATTCTCCATGATAGTAGAAACAATTAATTATCGCCTTCAGCAAACAATGTTGCCGTTGGGAATCCAGCTGTACTGAGGTCGGTGATGCTATGGGGTAAAGGGTCATGTGAATGAAAACACTTGGTCATAAATTCTTGAAATTAAAATGTGAAAATATGGCATGCCGCAGCACGAGCCACTCTTAATTTCATCTGAGGAAAAAAGCAGCTCCTGCCCCTCCAGCAGTTCCCCCAATGATGACCATGGCAATTCCGAGACCTGCCATGGAACCTGAAGGATGGGAAATACAATACTAATAATAATTCAAATAATATTAAAATAATAATAATAAG